GGTATTCATAGAAGAGGAGGGCTTGAAATCCGAAGCTGAAATAAAAAAGGTGAGAACTTGTAGTCTGTACTTGGCATTCAAATGCCAAGTAGGCCGTTCAAATGCTCTATTGATTTTTCTGGGAATTCTGTTTGTTGAGATGCTGAGATTGGACAGCGTTCGAACACCATGTATCTTGTTCAAACGCCACATATGATGACAGCCGCCTAAACCGCTAAATGTTGGATTCGTTCTGATTCTTGCAGCTAGTTCGTTCGAACACTCTAGGCCCCATTTGAACGCATGACATAAAGTCTTCATTTTAGCCTTCAAAGTCTTCATAGCTGCATACTTTCCTGTCATTTGTCTCTTACTTGTCTAATTGGATAGGGTAAATCATGACTTCATCCCTAAACAAGTATTACACATTAGATGGTCTTAATCGTATCTCCTTACATACACAACGTATGTAATTAACCAATCAAATGGATGTTCCAATGCTATTTTTAATAGTTAATCAATGATCTTCATGCTACATTCAAAGAAGTAGTTCTTACACTTAGATTAGGGACGTAGAATTGAATGTTGAGATTGGTTTACAATTCATTTTGTTCAATGGTTTGTAGGTTGTAATCTTAATTTCTTATTTATGTATTTTGTCACAAAATTGCCAAAATGAGAAATTGTTAGTTCATATTGTTTAATTGGCTAATTTGGTGGAGACATTTGTAAATCTTAACCTATTTCATGGTTATGATTCTACAACGATGAAGATCCAAAAATACTTGAAGGGAGGAGATCATGCGTCAAAGATACATAAAAAAAAAAATACTCCGTATGCACATTCTTACTTAGGATAAAGTAATGACATAGATACCTAAGATGATCCATTGGTTTAATAGATTAGGAGGATTAATGTTAAAATGGAATCGGTATTAGATTCGAGAATGACTCCTAGGTGTTCTTAAAAGAAACGATTTTCTAAACCTCTTATGTGTTTTGAAAACATAGGATGAACCATCATTGGATCCCTCTCGAACAATACCCTTTAGTGTTTAAGAGGATAAGTTTTTTGCTTGGTTTTAGGCTTAAAATACTAATAGGGACCGTCCTATGCTCGCTAGCCTTTGCTAGAGCGGTCTCTTCATGACTTAGAAAAAAGACAGACAAAGGCTAAACGAAGCACTAGATGGGTCGCCCTTTGAGGTTGCTCTAGCGGTCTTAGAGCTCGCTCTAGTGGTTCCCTGGTCGCTTAAGTGGTCCCGCTCTCCTAGGTTGGTTTGGAATTTATTTTTCATTCCAGTGACCACTACCCTTCCACGGCTCAAGCGGTCGTTCACAAATATGAGATTTCTTATTGACCAAGATTGCCCTTATTTCAGACCAATAAATAGAGAAAATATTTTTTACACCTAGGATAAGAAGCCTCTTGTAAGTATTTTGAGAGAGAAATTTTATCTTCTACTACAACCCTAAATTCCTAAGATCCAAGGCTAACATCTAGTGATTCTTATCCAACCTCACAACTTGGTGAAAATAATCTTGATTGGTTGAAGACCTAACCTATTGGAATATGAATACTGAGGATCGTTGGTGCGTCTAAGATTGCTCGAGGCCTAGAGAATCCATTACGGTGGTGAATCCAAGTGAAGCTACACAAGACGTTGGAGAGGCACTTTGGCAAAGAGACCTATTGAACGAAAGGAGCATCTAACCATGGTGTTGGTTGAGTTATAACACTTTAGCACTTTTAATTAAGCTGATTTTAGGGTAGTGGATTAGACTTTAGTGAACTGAGAAGGTTTCTCATGATTTTTTCCAAGGAGGGTTTCTATGTCAACAAATTGCTTTTGCTATCTATCATATTTTCATACACACTTGCAATTTGAGCACACACATGCACTATGTGATTGATTGAGTGTTTGATTGAATATGTTTATCATCCATAGTTTTGCATTAAAGGGTTTGGGTCATTGGGTTGGAATCCTGTGAGAGATTGAGTGTTGAGTGATTAATTACTAAAATCAATTCATTAATCTTCGTGGGTTCATGTGGTCGTTGTGGCTAAAAGGGGGTTCTCACTATTAATTTTTTTAACTTTGTGAGAAAGGGTAATTTGCGGTAGTAATATGTTTAAAATTGTTGATTGTTCAAACTTAAAGTTTAAGAATCTATTCACCCCCTCTAGGTAGTGTCATATAATCCATGTATATAATCGTGAGAGAAAATGAACATGTATCTAAATGAACAAATATCTCCCCCTCCCAGAATAACAAGAAGGATTTTAAACCTTTGGTATTTAATCACGCTTCAAATGTGTGATGATATCTAGGAGAAAATATTGAATATAATGGTTACATTGTATCAACCGTGCCACTTATAAACAGGATTTGTTTTAATACTATTCGTTGGTGATACCACATCACATTTCTATGTGATATCATAGTTATAATGAATATTTATTCCGGATTTACCTGGCCCCTAGTGCAATCTTGAAAAACTTTTGAATTTATTTAAAATTGTTAAATTTTTAGAATTTGTCCCTCCTAAAAAATTTGTAAAAATTTATGTGTACCTTAATACTTGAATTGTATTTTTATGATTTAATTTGTAGACCTATGTGTTCTAAATGAAGAAGCCCCATAAGTTATAAATAGATAAATATTATTGCATCATATTAACCCCACATCATTAGTTATCAAATTAAAATAAAATTTTAGGTGTAAATAACTTTGATCTTTTATATTTTAGAGAAAATAAATGACATTCTTTTATGACTTGTTCACATATCTCAAATATGAATTAAAATAGTTCTTAAAATTTAAAATTTTAATTTTAAAATTATTAGTTAAACTTTTAGAGTCTGAAATTAAACGTAACTATGGAAGAATTACTATGTTTGCGATATGATTAAATTATGTTAATATTAAATTTAAATTGAGAGAGAGAGAGAGAGAGAGAGAGAGAGAGAGAGAGAGAGAGAGAGATATTATGAGCAATGCTATGTTGACCAAATTGTTGCCCAATTTTGTATCCCAAATTAATGCAGGTGGTTGAATTTGTGGGATCCGCTAACTTCACTAAATACTCAATGCATGAGATTTTTATGCATTACTTGAGATACAAGATTTAGCAAAAAATTTGAGCAAGACAATTTTATCCAAATATTATAAGGCTGTTTTGCAATAATTGGGGGAGTAGCTGAATAAATTTATGCCCTGTACGTAGATGACGATTTGGTGCAATGGTGACTTTGAAAACGCTCAGTCCAGTCCAGTCCAGTCCAGGTCCGCCATTACAATATACGTTTGTCCTCTTGACTTCTGTTTCTTCACACACCCACACATAGTAGTCTGCAATTGCGTGGACTTGAGTTATAACAGAAACTTTCCTTTGTAATTACACGTATATCCCCATATTTGAGTAAGAAACAGAATTCCTTTGAAGCTTATTTGTTAAAACATAAATAAGCCTCAGCTCAACTCTGAAACAGCGGTCTGAAGACGATAATGGAATTGGTGGCCTGATAGCAACGTCATGATACTAAGCCCAAACCCTACCCAATGCAATTAGCAAAAATATCAGTGCTAAACCCAAAAAGATTCTCATCAACGCACCTTATTTATATTACATTGCTTGGTAGTAGTAGAGAGAACAAACAAGACGAGTAGTAAAACATCTGATAAATCCAAAGGAACCAACTACACCAACTAAATCATAGAACTCCTGGGGCCTGTTTGTTTTGTGGGTTTGGGGATTGGTGTCTAGGGTTTGGAAAAAATAGTTGAAAGAACCTCAAACCTCAAGTTTGGATTAAAAATTCAATCATGAGTTCTCAAATCCGGCCACAACTAACCCGAATGTTAAACCCATGATCATGATTTTTGTCAAACTTAGAGGGAGTGAGTTTGGGAAGATGAGTTAAAAGTTAAGGATGCCATAGATAATTGTATCCTTAACATGAGTATGAATTGAATTAATTAAGGGGCAAAATAATCTTTCATATAACAAAAAAGTTGTTAATAATTTTGATATATCCGTAATACTTACATGTGTATGTGTTGCATACTAAATATTGATATAGACTGAATTCAATGTTAAATCTCATCTTTTTAAAGAAGAGTTTGAATTTGGAGAAGCCAATCTAAGCCCTCCCCACAAATCCATCCAAACAAGCCCCCAAGGCTGAACCCTAAAACTATCACCTAAAGAAAAGGCCAAAAAACCAACACTAACAAACCCAAGCCAACTAAAATACACACTAACCCAAGTCCAAGAATATTAACGGCAAAATCACCAAATATTCGCGAGCTCTGGCTGTATTTGCCATCCCTAATCCACCTCAATGTTTAGTAAAATAAAGGATAATGCAGATCCCAGAGCCTCAAACTCTGTTAGTATCAATGTCCATAGGTTGAGATGAAAGACCGAAAATATGATCATGTCCAAGTGTTTAAGCCGTGAACCTGGGTGCTATAGTCCTTACTTAGAGTTGCACATGCATGCATACACACCCACAGAGAGAGAGAGAGAGAGCACCAAATTTTGAATTCCTCCATTTTGCAGAATCATCCAACAGCTTCAGAGACGATCTTACAATGGCAGTCTACTCACCCAACCGTCCTCAACAACCAAGACAACCCTAGAAGAAAGACGACCAAAACACACAGAGGAAAGGCAGACCTGATCATGTACGTTGTTTTCTAGATTAAGCAAAATAATTTTAAGAACTATTATGAACAATGGTTGTATGCATCCGAAGTAGTAGGAAATCAGCTTCAAAATTCATGCCATCATCATGGGCTCCTATTCTCTCCATGGCTCCATCAATCCCTTCCTTTAATAAGTTCCCTCGACAATTAAATGGAACTTAAAAGTTTTCATATACGGGTAGCATGTTGGAAAATTTGCAAGTGTTCGAACCAAAAAAAAAAAAAAACAGAAATCTTGCAAGTGAAAGTAAATCAAATCCAAGTGATTTCTAGGGAGTTCATTTAACACATTGCCAACTCCATGAGTGACTGCTTCAACACAGTGATTGCACTTTCACTCAACTTTAAAGAAATAAGCTGAGAGAAGGTGATTTATATAAGATTATGTTCCAGAAAGATATACACAAAGGTACCAATAATTCCAAACACACCCAAAATCATTTCCAATTCAACAATGAGGAAAAGTATAGATAGACACAAGAGCCTGCAAATGAACACTATAAGTACCACCGTTTCAAGGCATGGTATCAAGAAAATACAACCCAAAAAAGTTCAAAGTTTCTGTTACAGACACAGCAAGGCCACACATGCACGAGAGTTTTTTGCACAGAATCTAAGCCACCTTACCTCAATAGAAGCATCCCATACATCTCAAAAAAAATAAAAAAAGGGAGAAATAACCAGGAAAAAGCAAATGAATACACTCAATCCCTACCCTCACCTGAAACAAGAAGGAAGTGCAAGCCCATGGCAAACAAATGCCAGCACAACATAAATGATAACCAGGAGAAGGAATATCAGTGCAACCCTGCCAAAAAGCAAAATATTATATCACTCAAGGACTGTAAGTGGAAATAGAAAGGTCAGATCTTACCCCTAAATAATGCTAATTGATGGAAGTACAGCCACTTCAGGTCTTTAACCATGTGGAATAATCTGGCTTAGAAAAATTTGGAGTTTAAGACTTTTAGGACATTAAGTTAAATGCTGGCATAACATCTTGAGGGAGGAGAAGGTGTAGGAGTTCAAATTCATCACTGGCAATGGGAAAGTTCGCAGAAAAAGTGTGGCGTGGACGCTCACTGTATGAAGACTTTTTGTTGATTTGCCATTTGGATCCTTTCAATTTTTTATTTGCATGGCATCAAAGTCAATGAACATGAATTGCTTGGAGTCGACTAATAGATTTTAACTCCTGTTTTTATGATGACAAGCAGCGTAATGGATAAGGTTACCATAGTTTGCAAAGGAAGACCAGAGGTTGCCAAGGTCACTGCATGGGAATTTGGGGCTCAAAGTTCGCCAATCTTGCCAACTTTGAATTAAGAACAGAGGAACTAGAGTTCACCATATGTTAGGTTACCTCGCCATGACTCAGTTGCTCATTGCAGATCTTATGGTGTTGGCTTTTGGCTTGTAATCATACTTTCAAGGTTTCCTTTTTTTTTTTTTTTCGGAAGATAAACTCCCAGTTCTTTTCACACCTAAGTTCAACTTGTGCCCAATACATGATGTACGGTTTGCAAAAATCTATTATCCTTCTTTATTCATGTTTTCCGACAAATAAATAGAACCTAAACTCCTATAGAACAATCAATCAATAGAAATTACAAAAAAACACATTCACAGAGAGAATAAAAGAGGGTTGGCCAGCATGCCACATTCCATGATGGAGCAGCTATTTAACGGTTAGGAGGACACATACAATTTGGAAATCCAGAGCTAAGTCTGCCAGCCCCTTGAAAATAAAGAAGGTTTTTTGGTCCTGAAGGTGTGTTTGAGGTAGTCACTAGTCTTATGTTTTATATGAAGTTGGCATGCTCTCTTAATTTGACGTAATTTTATTTTATATATTTTTTGTGTCACAAGTATTGCAGTATTTTCTAGTACTTGTGGAAAGATATTCCAATTATGACTATGGATTGCAAATCGAACTGTGTTACTTCAGTTTAATCTCGAGGGCTAAAGCATATTCTAGGAAGTCCTATTGGTAAACGATTCAAAATTTTCAAATTTGAAGCCATAACCCTAATGGTAAAGATGTCTCTTAACTAATAGTAGTTGTTCCCTTGTCAATTCAATAGAGTAGAGTAGTAACATAGGGATTATACTAGTATGCTTTTTCCTCACAATTGTTAGTATTGGCCGAGCTTCTTTTTTTCCTTCCTTCTTATCCTTTTAGCCTTCTGTTTTTTTTTTTTTTTTGCACTTCTTATAGCCAGCGCACAGATGAGGTTTCATCACCTTTTACCACTTCAAAAGTGCACTTATGAAGTCCAATCCTCTTTATCACCAATTAAACTCGAGCAACTCAAAAAACCCAAGAAATCCCCAAATGGAAGGCTACATTTCACAGCAAAGGAACAGTCCTTAAACACTAGTTTTGTCATTTTTAGAAGTTTCCGTAGACATGCACTATTTGACCCCAACCATTTCCATTCCTTTTTGACCTTCAAATTAGATAGTTAATGACCCTAAAAGCTTGCTGTCCAGAACCCCCCCCCCCCATCCTTCTTTTCCACTGCCCAACATCAATTGCGGAGTGATAACTTGAAGGAAGGTGTTTCTCACACTTGCAATGATTATTCTACAGGACACTTATGCCCCTAGAAGATCAAAATCGGTACCCCCATCTATTATAAAACAAAATGCTTAATCATCAAAAAAGGTTTACTTTTAAGAACATACGTGAGCTGGATATTTCTCCACCACACTGTGTTTCTGAAACGGCGAGCCTGCTTTCTGAAGCGAAAAGTATTTCCCTGCATATTGGCAGTTTTGTCAACCAGCAACTCCAACCGATCACCCCTTTCTAGAACTTTATCAATATTCTCTATCATGACATTACGCACCTGTTAAAGAGCATAATCACACAGAAGCCCTCATGATTGGTAGAAAAAAACCCAAGAGGATGTCATGAACTACAAATTTGCACATGGATATGGACTGATACAGTAAAAGGTAAAGGAATTTTTGACATGCTGCAACACAATTATACTAAATCACAATGCGTCAAGAGTACATGTCAAAAATATGAAGGGGGTTAATGCACCATGTGTCGAGGATCAAAATATCGTTTCGAAACGGTCGAAACGTCCGAAACGTTTCCGTTTTAAAGGAGACCGAAACGAGACAGTGATATAATCGAAATTCTAATATTTCGAGGTATTCCATAATGTTTCGAGATATATTATAATATTTCAATGCATTTGCACAATTATTTCGAATATTTCACGGTATTTCAAGATATTTTGATATATTTCAATCAATGTTTTAGAAAAATAATTTTTAAATTTTTTATTTTTTTCATCATGTTTCCGAAATGGATCGAAACATTTCTGGAACACATCGACACGTTTCCGTCTCCTAGGTAACCGAAACAACACACCGAAACAAAATTTTGATCCTTGCCATGTGTTTATTTAACCGAAAGCCTTATCATACTAAATAAATCACACCATTAAATTCACCACCATAAATTATCAAATACAAGCATCCACAGGAAAGCTAGTTGTACTGAAGCTATCAGGGCCATAAATGAAGTCTAAATATCAAATTAATTTCGCAGAAAGGTAGTGTTCATGGACAGCAAAAGTAGATGAGCAAGACTTACAAAAATCAAAACTGACATTCATTATAAGCAGATTGTATTGTACATGATCAATAGAGACATTCTATACACACCTGGCTCATTTCACCTTTTAATCGATTTATCCTATCTGCATTTGGATCATTTGAGTAATATTCCATTTGTTGGCTCAAAACCCTAGAAAATTCATCATTCATGGCATATGCATGGGCTGCTAGAACTGCACGACCATAAGTCCTAACAAATCTCTGATGAATGTCTTCGAGAAATGCAAAAGGAATTCTTCCTGCACAATGAATTCAGAGTCATGCTGAAAAAACGATACAAACCTTTCAAGAAGTAGCAGTAAGATAATCTTCTAAAGCAAAAACCGTGCAACTACCAAAGTGATGCAAGATAATATCATTGAACTTATGAACTAAGAAGCACAAACAATTCTGAGAAGGCCTTTTGTGTGTCATGGACCTGTGCCTATTCTTCTCAGACACACCTAGACATGCATGCATGCAACACCTTTTTACTTTGTGTATTGTGTCCATGTTAAAAACAGCAATATTAAATTAGGACATTAGTTAAATACCCTTGGACACTTTGGTCGCGTTTGATAAAAAACTAGGAAGTTGGGATATCGTTATTAATAATAGTCAGATTAAAGGGTGGTGTGAGTTTAATTAGTACGTTCTTACTATATCTAAAAACAAAGACAAGAAACATGAAGGTTTTATAAACGAGGCATGAGAGGATAAGAGTACACATCATAGATACGTATGCATACTATCTTTCATCTGTCCAAAATGTGTGATTGTCAACTATTATGATTTGCAAAACAGATTCATGTTATGCCGCTACGTATGACTTCTACCTATTGAAGAATTATAATAATACTCTCATATCGTATAATTTCATATATATGATACACAATCAACAGGTATATATGGATGGAATATTTTTTTGGGCAAACTTCACTTTACGCCCCTCGTGGTTTATCCAAAAGTGCATAACCACCTTGTCATTGAAAAATATCCGCATAATACTCACATGCTTTGTAGACTAAATCCCAATGCTAACTCTATTAACAAAAAAATTAAAATGACCTTACTACCTTTTTCTCACCTTCCCAAGCAAGCCCCAATGGTTCTTAATCTCCCTAGCACCCTCTCCCGGAAAACCAAGACCACCCTCTGAACAACGGCACAACACAGTACACAACACAAAAAAAGACATTCCACATATCTCTCTTCTCTTCCTCCTCTCTATATCAAACATTGTCTTGCCATCACCACCTCTACAACACCATTGTTTTTAGAACACTACCCTTCCTTCTCTCTGTGGCTAACACCAAATACTAGTATCATCGCACTACCATCTTTTTGTTGAATAACAATTACGTGCCTCAAATTCTAATTACTTCAGTATAAACATTGTCAAGGGAAATTTTCAACTAAAAAGGTTTAATAGAAATTTTACGAAAATTAATAGGAGAAAAATTCATTATGGCAATGAACAACCCAGTCATATGCCTTTGTTGTAATGATCTCAAATTGCCTTGATCTGCAATATCTCAAATCATAGTTGTTAAATCGCGATTCGTATCGTGAATCGGAATCTTAAATTTGAGAATCGTGAATAGTAAGATTCGACACAAAATTTGAACAAAAATAAAAAATAATATTAAATATTTGAAATAGATAAAATATTGAATATTGAACATTATTGCATTTTAAAAATAATCAATTGACATAATAACGTCGTCTAAATGAAAAGACGCTAGACTTTTGCTTCATTTTCATCTTTTACTCAACTATTTTCAAATCCAACAACTTGGAAAAAAAAATCATTAAAGAACCATGACTATTCAAGAACCAAAATAGTGACACCCTGGATAGATTATGTTAAAAACATGAATGAAAAAAGAACAAATAAGAAAATTGATTAGGAGAAAATATACTGGCCAATATTTTGAAACAAAAAATTAGAACCTAACAAACTATCCATGAAAGAATTGAGATAAAAAATCAACCGATGATGCGTGAGTGTTAGCCGTGACCTTTAGTTTTAGACAATGCAAGACGAGTTTTAGACGACGTCAAAAGAGAGAACGAGCAAATCGAATCGTACAATTCAGATGTGATTCAACTCTAAAACAATGCTCATATAAGATGCAAATCGTTTTGTACCTGTATCGAACCGAGTCGTATGAATCGAATCGCAAATTGTATGATTTTGATAACTATGACTCGAATTGCATATGTTTCAAACTGGTTCACTAGTCGAGTCAATTTCGATGCAAATTCATTTCAACCACATTGTTTTGAACCAAAGTGAGTTAAAAATTGAAGTCACATAGTGATCCTACTTGGGCGAGAGTTGGGGATCCTCGTAGCAATGGGGATGGGGAAAAGAGTGGCAATGATACTTGAAGGGGTAGGTGTTGAGGGGAGAGAGAGAGAGAGATTGGTGGAGATGGTTATTGATGGCGAAGAGTTGTTGGGGGTTAGTGAGTTGTTCGGGAAGACCTTGGTGACTTTTGGTAGTGGACTGGTCTAAGAAAGAAGAGTAAAGAGGAAGAATAGAAGAGAAGGGCTAGTGTGTGCCAGTGGTGGCTATCTTCCAGCAATCCCTGAAGCAAGATGGGAGAATCTGAGGGTGTGATGAGGGTACTTTTGTCATTTTAAAATAATTCTTTATGCCCACTCTTATAGTTCGTGTGTGAATCACATTGCCAGTTCTAATAAATGGAAAATTTAACGTTATAATTTAGTCCACAATGCATGTGAGAGTTATGTGGACATTTTTAAATGGTACAAAAGTTATGTAATTTTAGGAGTTGTTTGGATGCCGTATTAAGAAAAGAAGGACTGTGCAATCCTAGATAGATGGATAAAATTTAAGATTAAACTGGGGGCAAAGATAATACCAATTTTAGTCAAGTATTTGTCAAATACGGTATTAAGAGTTGAATAATGAGTATCGAGTCCAATATAATATTTTGTTAGATAATTTATTCAATGGTATTAAAATGAGTGGACTAAAATGCTCTCAATCATCTTCAATCTAATCACTTGCAGTGATCTAATATTTCGTAGGACTATATCAATATTACTTATTATAAATATTTTTAAATAATTTGGAATTACAAGCATCCTTTAGTTGTGTAAAAATATATTTTAGACATATACATTTGTTTATTATTAAAATAAATAATATAGAATGATCACATGGATTTTTCTTGCATTGAGGGTAGAATTGTAAAATAATAGCTCAGTAGTATGGATAGATTGTATTAAAATTATCTGTAGGAGATACTTATCTAGTTAATCCCAATCCCATATATAATACGAAGTAATTTTTTGCATTCAAATGTAGTATAAACTCGTATTAAAGTGTTTTAATTCAACATGACTCTTTAATACCCCTCATAATACAACAACCAAACGACCCCTTAGGGTATACTATAAAAGGGTAAAGTGGAGTTTGCCACATTTTTGTATTATTCTATCCTCACTGTGTATGCATCCCAACTTTTCAGGACTTGCCGATGCCCTTGTTATGTCGTGCTTGTGTCCTAGGTATGCATCATTGTCGTTAGGTATAAAACAAAGTTAGGTCTTAACCAATGTCTGCCGTATACAATAAAAGCATAGTTACCGAGTTAATGGCTTAGTGAATGAGATGAGGCCAACAACAGAGTTGAATATCTTTTCACAGAAAACAAATATCTTCAGAATCTGAAACTGAGGCCTTCAATTGGAGATCGTTTATGGTAAAGACCTCCATCCATCAAGCAATCCTATAAATCAACTCATGAGAAGCTCTCAGCTTAATCACTACATATGAAAGAGATATAGTCCGTCAAGAGTCTTGGTCAGAAACTGCAAGTTCATCATGAGCAGAAATTGATAAGAGAACTTCTATGCAGACCACCTGGCAAACATGGCAAAGACACAACAGATGGATCTAGTGGGGCTGAAGTATATACCAGACCAACTTAAACTTTAGCTGAGAGTTGCTGCTTCGATTTTTCTGGTTGTGCAAAACCATGGATCTCTCGCAAGAGATATTGCAGCCACTGCAGTTAAAATTTGCACAAATTATAGATTACCTCCCTGTGGTTGGACCTAGCAACACATTACCTAGTTATACTTTTATCCACACATAATCCCGTGATTTTGGAGTTTGGACTAAAATGAGACTGCTAGAAATTTGGTGAAAAGTAATGATCAAATTTTATTAAGTAAATACCATGTCAAAGTCACTTTTGTACCCTTATCCTCACTAGTTTTATTTTTATATCTCTAAAACAAATCAATCTCTTTCTCTCTCTTTCCTTTCTATGCTTTAATAATTTTCAAATTGTATGAAAATTTTAGGACGAGAAACACTAACATAAAAAAGTTGGAAGTTACTATAGTCTCTTAATATACTAAATGTACCTCTGTTAACCGTTGCACTCTAGTCCAAAACAAAAAGAGTTATGTATAGGTACACAGTTTATAGGGAGGTAGACTATTACTGCCTCAAACACTTTTCACTGTTCCAAGTTTTCATTTTTGATAGGAGTTCCAAGTTTTCATTTTTGATTGGAGTTCCAAGTTTTCATGCAGTACTAGAAATGATCATATTTCTTTTTGATTGATAATCTCGTAAGTTACCCAACATATGGTATTACATATTCCAATACTGCAATCCAATTTATTTTGGTGGAGCACAAACAACAGCATGATAATTTTACCTCCATTTCAAATCCAATAAAATTTTAAAAAATTTTGCAATCCTTAATTTTTGTTATTTCCAACCCCAAAAGCCGAAATTGGAGGTGTGTATCTTCATATAAATTCAAATACGCTGATAATCACTACAATCAGCAGCACAGCAATGCAGTCAAATAAACACATTTGGAGCAAATCAAACAACAGAACCTGTTTCAAACAATATTCTAAACCCAAAAAAGTTGATAATTTAGCTTCACAATTCCCCCTATTCTTCCAGTTCTAATTCAATTAATTTGATACATGATAATTCGAGGAAATCAAAGTGAAATACATAGTAATGACCAAAGATTCAAAAAACCTTACTTCCGGCGGTATCGTCAGCCATGCAGAGAACGGTGAGGCCATCGGTGCGTTTCACGTGAAAGATGTACCGATCTTGCGAGTACGACACGTTCGAGTCATTGGTTCCAGGTACTTTCTCCAGAATTTGCCTGGCGATTGAGCTCGCGTTCGTCGACGCCGCGCTGAATTCCGCCAAAACCACCGATCCCCTCGCCACCAACGCATACAAAATCGCCATCTCTCCCCTTAATACGCAGTCCCTCTCTCTCCCTATATATATATATGTGTGTGTGTGTATATGTATATTTACAGATCACAGCTTCTTTTCTGTGGGTGTATATACATGAATTACATGTATTTATCTCTCATGTTTCTCTTTCAAGATGGGAACGAGAGAGCTAGGGCTTTGGTTTGGCGGAATTTACTACTGAATTTAAATGAATGATTTCAGCAATTTTTTTCGGAGAGAAGAAGAGATTTTTGAGTAAATAAATTATGCTAATAATAAAATGAAAAGACAATGTATTTAATGAGAGTTTTATTGTAATATTAATAAATTCAATATCACATCATTAATAACAACTCATTATATTTTCAAATTATGTCTATAAATTATGTCCCGTTCACATTGCCCAAAAAATTACGGGCGGCAGAGTCGTAGAACAAATGACGGTGGGTGGGGACGACTGCGATCGGGGGAGGATGAGTGCATCTGTGCCTGAAAGCTGGATGTGACCTGGGGTGACCCAACTTTCCATTTGTTTATCCATGGAATCTATCTATCTAAATTAATAATTTGAATTGCACATAATACATGTATAAAATCACAATAATTATTGAGATTAATTTAAATTTTATTTAAATTCATTTAACTGCATAAATTTATTTTCAAAAAAAAAATAAAATTACATAAAAATATCATATTCTCTACGTGATCTCTAATATTAGACAACTCTGTTAAGCTACACATATATCTCTTCTCTCTATAATGTCTCTATTTTTTTTTTTTTATTCACTTTAATTTTAAATTATATAATTAAAAAAATATAAATATATATTTTGTTTTTTTCTAAAATATAAAAATTATACAATCAATACTCAAATTTTTGTATTTTAGATTGTCTTTTGACACGAAGTTATTACTAGTCCATATACACATATACACGATGTAGAGTTAACTATACAATCAATACTCAAATTTTTGTATTGTAGAGTATCTTTTGACACAAGATTATTACTAATATATATATACGTGATGTAGAGTTAACTACACAGACGGTCCTAAATTATGTTATTTGTGTCAATTGAGCCTATAAACTATTTTTTGTGTCGATTTAATCCATTCATTATGCAATCTAACTCAATATTACGCTTCCATTCAAGTTTGCCATTAATTTTAATGAAAAGCCTCGCATGCACATCACATAAGTTAGGATTAGGGTAGTTAAAATCATATACATGAGATGTGTACACGAGTCTTTCCCTTAAAGTTAATATTGACTTTGAACAGAAGTGACACATCACGTGATATTGTATAGTATACAGGTTAAATTGACACAAAAATTAATTTAGAAACTTAATTGACATGATTTAAAGGCACTCTGTGTAGTATACTCTACAATGTATTATTACAAGCAATTGAAAGAATGAAAGGCTTTTTGTCTCTCAAATTTTTAAATTTTTAAATTTAATTATAATACAAAATTTATTCAATTGTTATATAGAGAATAAAATTGCAAAGAGATAGGAGAACATAAAAATGCTAGAGAATATATCTTCTCAACTTGTATTCCTCATGATGGCCAATATCTCATTTTCTAGGCCTTAAAATATAAAAGTGATTAAATACAATAATAAAGTAGATATATAAATGGGTAAGAGTTATACATTAATCCACTAACTCTCACTTATTCATATTTACTCTGGGTACTAATTGAAAAGTTAGAGATCATCCACTTTATTATAATATATACAATGTAATTGTATTATTTACAATATTAATTTTTTTTTTTGATCAGTATAACATTTATCACATTCTGCCGGATGTACCATGTAACTATTTCTCCACTCTATTAATTCACTATTATTTAATTAATTTTTAAAAAAAATATTTATATCACCTTATAATTTATTACTATTTTCAACTAATGATCGAGTGGGAAAATAAAAAAAGAATTGGAGAGCATATTATTTTATTGAGTTTGAGTTGAGCATATTTTTTGTGGTTTAAATTGTGAAACAATTGGAAGATTTTCAAGTAATTACATCTTTTATACCCTCGATTTGTTAATTGTGTGGGCATAAATTGGTTCAACTCGATTTCTAAATGTCAACCCTTTTTTTGTTGTTGATAATGTCCTTGACAATTAGGGGGTGAAACAGGGGGCCCAACCAAGAGTATAACAAAATAGAATGTAACATTTAAGATGTCCAATTTTTATATTGTAGGAGGGGGCCAACTTAACAATAGATAACTTTTCAAAATTTTTTTTTTAAAATATATATAAACTTAAAAAAGTAGGGGTTAAAAAATATTTTAAAATCTCAAGGGGTCATAGGCCCTCTCTTGCTTTACGATGACCAATCAAGGAAGCCCAAGTTAATATAATAGCAGTTCATATCAAAAATTTGTATAAAGAAATCCATACAAATATGTGTACAACAAAGAGAGACCATATAGAATAATCATTGTGAACTTCTTTGGTTTTGTTTATGGTTGTGTCGACTATTTCTTTGAGCTCAATAACTGGTCACCGTGATTTGACTTGAGTTAGAACATGTGCTTAAAATGATAAGGATGACTAACTCTTAGCGGGTGTAAGAAAGAATTGAACTTAAAACTTCTGAATTATCAGAGATCGGACTTAACTACTAAATCACCCATAGAAATTAATCATTGCCGAGTTCGGTTACAGACACTAACAAAGAATTTTAGTAAATTTTACATGATGCGAAAGGTATCTACTAAAATATGGCAATCAATTGGGACTGTGGAAGAAACTTTCCTGAAATGGGACTTCCTAATTCCCACTAATCTTGCTATTCAAAAACTCATTTGCATTGACTACTATTGAGTGAAAATGACAAACATTAGATGTCTCAAACGAACATATAGCAGAGGAGCTCTTCGGCTGGTCTCATTGTGGAAGTTAAAACAAATTATATTTTATCTGGGGTAATATGGTCATGTACAATGTTGCAATACTCAAAGGATGCTGCTAATATTAGGATGTTCCAATTTGCTTTACTATATTTTACATGTTTTCTTCGTGATTCTAAACGAGTTGGTTTAATGGTCAAACAAGAAGCGAGTCGTAAGTTTGCATATTTTAAACTCTAAAACTCATTAATCGTATGAAACTGAAGCATTTTTCGATTTGCATAGATTATGTGCATTAAAAATTTGCATTGCAACTGACAATGATAGAATTTTGGGTATGAGCCGTCATAATCAAGAGCCCAATAGGTCCAAGAGGCTTCTATTTGCATAATAGCCCAAATGGTTCATCCCTAGTCTGTCCACGCTAAAATTAGAATGGACTGCGTCTAAAAGATGAAGCTCAACAGTACTTGAAAGCTTAAAGTCCAGCACAACCCAATCCAACTGAGCTGGAGGTCAGCTTGGGATAAAGAAGCTCGGCCCATTATTGATCATGAAGTACTCCCGTAGTGACACGTGTTCTGAGGGTAGAGGGACCACTTCTGACACCTATACCGAACACGCACTCCTTGTCACAGAGAATATTTGTGCGCATAACTGCTCAAGGACCATGGGTGCAGTAGTGTTATATGACAGAGATCACTACAGGACAAGAGTAGAGAGGCCCACAAAATCAGCAAAAAAGAAGAAGGAACCGCAAGAAACTATAGAAGGATTGTTTGTATAAATAGGACACTATTACACTAATTGAAAGGACACGAACATCGTCTTCCTCACTGCCTACTCAATTATTTACGAGGATAAGCTTGTATCCTCTAAGCATTTTTCTTGTAAAGGCTCTAAGCTGACAATACTACTGTAACAACTTACTTCAATCAATATATAACCTCTAGGAGTAAGAGATTCCCTTACAGTAGATGTAGCCTTAGACTCTCGGCTAAGGTGAACTATTTATATTGTGTCTAAGTTTTTCTCTTATAGCTTTATCCATTTCTAGTCTATATACTTACTCTGCATCCTCTCCGGGCCAATTAGCTACAGTTTTGAACTTGGGCCAACAATTCCGAACACCATCATCAACCATGAATCCAAAAAGACATGTGATTATGTGATTATGAAGGTTCCAGTATTATAAAGAAAAACTGACATCCATTGAGAATATTGGGTGTGTTTGGCGCAACGTGTAGATCTGACTTCCTCATTTCAGAAGAAGTGGCTTCAACGTAGGAGTTTGTATAATTATATAGAGCCGAATCAGCGGGACATAGGCTCCACTCTGAGCAAACTTGCAGGTTTAAAAGATTACTGACAACTTTATAATTGACATCAATTCATTAGCAATGTATAATATTTTTTGGGTGATTTACGCAATATGATATTGTCATGTGGAGTTTAGCGATCATTGAATATTTTCTAAGTTGATTGAATTACGCTCCTAACAAAATGTTTTTCTTTCTGGGTGGTGAATACATCATTGCTATTTGTACTTAATTCAAAGAGCTAATACATTGTGAATATTGGATTAATAATGAATTTTATTAAATATTGAACACATAATTCACCCAACGACTATAATCCATTAGCTTCTCACATTAGTTCCTCAAATTAAGTTTAATAGCATTATTTGGAAAAATTATATTTTGCCCCCCTTGATTATGACTCTTGTTTTATTTTTGTCTCTTTAACTATTGAATTTTTTATATTGCCCCTTCAACTATTTTAATTATTTTACATTGCTCTAATCGCAATCGTCTATTATCTTTTTGGACAAAAATTACTGATGTGTCAGTGCAAAGTAAAAAAATTACATAGTTTGAGGGTAAAAAACAATTTTTCTTTAAATATATAACAAATGTTAATAATTGGGACAATATAAAATTAACCACATAATTGAGGGTACAAATTTGATAATTGAGCGGACAAAATAAAAAAAAAGGTCATAATTGAGAGGGCCAAATATTCTCATTCTTCCATGGCAGCACATGCAAAGCTCCTCCTTGTTTTCTTCATTTTCTATTATTTTTTCCTCGTATTTCTATTTTGAATTGATCCAACGCAATAGAAAATTCAATATATAAAGTTAGGATTGAAAATCTTTATGACACAAAATTGATACAAATCTATTGAATATGAGTTTAAAAAGGGGTTGCGCCACGATTTTTTCGCAGTGGAGGCAACCTAAATTTCACTAATTAATGAACTAAAACCATAATATTAGAATTATTGTGGGAAAAATACTAATAAGTCTTCCTTTTTATTTAATAAAATTTGACTAATTTTTCTTAAAACAATTATGTCCTATTTTTTA